TCCCGCCGCGTCGAGATCCCCCTCATCCCCCCTCCACCGCCAGCGCCGCCCTCTCCAGAGACACCCCCCTCAACCCAGCACACAACACCTCCCTCCGCTTCTATCTCCCAAACCCTAACCCTAGCCCCAAGCTCCTTGTCGTCCTCTACTTCCACGGTGGTGACTTCGTTCTCTTCTCTACGTTGATCTAAAATCCTCTAGCGTCATCGTCTGCTACGTCAACAGTCATGGCGCCGGTGGGAAGTTCTCTGGAAGCGGAAAATCTGGAGTCGATGGCCACGAGTTTCGAGCAGAAGTCCCACAAAGTCGAGACCTTACTCAAACAGTTGAGCTCTATGGATTCCAAAACCCTAATTCAAAGAGATCGTCCTTACCTCTAACGATTTTTTTTCTTTTTTCGTTAGATTTAAGCCCTTGGAAGCTCTGAAGACGACGCTTGAGGGATCACCGACGAGCATCAAGGACGAGAGGTGTAAGGTTTGGGGTTCTTTTTGATCTGGTTTAAGAAATTAGGTTTTCGTTTTATCGAAGTGGAATCTTTGTAATTGGGGTTCTGGATTTGGTTGTTGCAGTCGGCGAATTGGATCGTGGTGCATCGGGCGATGATGGCAATAAAGGATGTGGATGGGATGTTCTCGACCTTGGATCCGGAGTACTATGACATTCTCATGAAGTAAGATTCATTTCTGTATCTAGTGATTGTTTTTATTTTATGTAATTATAATTATATGCTTTTCGTCTAATTTTTATTTATTGTCATTGTTTGCGCTCTTTGTATTCTTGATACCAAAATGGTAGCTTTGGTCCCTGATTTTGCTTAAATGTAGGAATTATATCGAGGAAATGAAAAAGTAGCATTGAAATGATAGTAAGGTGGAAGACTTGGAGGAGTAGATATCCATGATGTTAACTTGATCAAGTGTTTTTAGAGAGTGCAGGAGGAGACACATCTAAGTAGGATTTTGAACTCGTTTAGAGATACGAAGTGGCCCATCTTTGTTTTTTTCCCACCGGAAATGTAATGTTAGCCACTAATTAAAAGGAAAAAGTTGTATTGGTTCTGAGAGTGCAATGTTAGAGAACCTAGGCTAGGATAGTCTGGATGTGTATTCCAATAGGTGGTTTATCAAATTTTGCAAAGGCACTAGCTTTTACAACTAACATGGTCTGATTAATTTTTTTAATTTCAATTTAATTTCTTTTTTCGATTGAATTTGGCTAGTTTTTTAATTAATCAAATTCATCTCATTTAGGTTTGATTTTCGATTGCATGGTTATTAATTTTTCTTTTTTATTTTCCCTTATTACATTAGAATCACTCAAATTCATTTTTATGTGAAATTGGTCACTTCTCCCAACCTCCTTAATTTGTATTTTCTATATTAACTTAGATTTTGATTTTGTGGTTGTCTTCTTTTCAGAGGGACTAAGGAAAGCATGTTTCTTTAGGCAAGAAAATTTGCAGGTTGTATATTTAATTTTTTTTAGGAAATTGTATATTTAATTGTTGAGACTTTAATTTTGCTCTTCTTTCTTAAAGGTTCAATGGTTGGTTATCAGGTGAAAATGTTGAGAGGCTTGAACAAAGTGATGATTAGGATGAATATTATAACCTATTTTGTAAATTTATGATGTAAATTATCAACAACAGTATGTTATCCTATAATTCAACTAGGGTCTTACTCATTATTAATCACAGCGGTATGCATTATAACCTATTTTATTGTTCTATCTCAGTAAAAGCATAAGCTTTTGACTCATTTAGATGGCTTCTTTTCTTTCTTGCAGCTACTTCTTATGAAGAGAGGAGGACGGGTCATATATGGAGGCGCGCTTGGTACAAACTCACAAATTATGATGAACTACTTTTAGGTTGTGTTCCTTTATACATTTTATGTACCACTGATCTCACTCTGACTTTTAGGTTAGTACAAAGAGTATCCATGCAATGCCGCTCGTGCTATTTTTCCCTTCATCAAATAATACAGCTCAATACAAAATGTTAGGATGCAAACATTTCTATAAACTGAATGCTGTTGATTTCTTCTTGTGTTTTGTTTTGTAAACCAACTGCACAGAACCTAGGACTGTTTGACTTAAGAGCTCATTCAAATCAGTCCATATGTGCTTGAATCATCTGTTTGTTGTGTGTGCGTGTGTTTTTGTGTGTGTGTGTGTGTGGGGGGGGGGGGGGCAGAGATCAAGATACAACTAGGTGTCTCACTTTTTCTCAAGAAGAGCCTACTGTATCATTTTTAGGATTTACATCGTGTGTGTGTGCACGTGTGTTTTTAGGAGATGTTTAGTACTCCTACGCATAACTAAGCTGTTTGTATAGCAAAGTACAGGATATGTGACGAAATTGAATGATATCTGTTTAAATAAGAAACATTTATTAAACTATTATAAATAGAAATAATCCATTTTTTATTTTATGCCATCTAGCTTATGGATTAAGGTTCCTTTCTATATAAGCTATTGAAAATACATTCATTTTACAACCTTTTGATGTACATATAACAACCCATAACAATACATAACTTTTCTAATATTACGGACTGAGGTATTTATTCAATTTCATCATATATCATGCACTTTGATATGGAATGCAATTTGTATATCAAATGTACTATTTTTTTCCCGGCTTTAGATCCACAGATTTTTTTAATATGCCGTTAGGGATTATGAGGGGTTTATAATATCATTGTGTTCTGCATTTTTAAGAGTCTGATGTATGTTTTAATCTTTTCGACCATTTTAAGTATCTGGCATCATGTGCTCAAAGTCTTGTATAGTTGTCCTAAATATCCTAAGAATAATATAAGTACATCATTTAATATTAAGTTCTTTAATGTAAATATTATCTTTTTGTTGATTTGAAAGAATGCTAACCCATCTTTGGTACAAGTTTAGTTATTACAAATTAATTATCTAACATCTATTTAGCGTAAAGGTGAACTTTGTTGCTGCCACTAGTTAATTGCTGCGAAAATCTTCTTGCAGAAGAACTACTATTCAAACTTTATGCAACATGAATTATTTGGACAACTTTTATTCACTCCAGTAAGTTAAGTATAACTTTTCTCATAGATCTGTTCATCTTTGTATGTGTGATTTTTGTTTCTCTTACTACTAATATATATTTCACCACATTAATATGCCAATGATATAAATTATTTAGCCAATGTAAGTTATATATTTTGGTCTTCAAGTGTTCTAAGCAAATTTTCTAGTGAAAGTTGTTAGTTATATTTGTTATAGTTCATTGCATGCTTTTTTCAAAATATGGACTTATATGACCTGCGTTCATTTCAATTTTTTTAACTGTGGTGTTTGGCCTATGCAGTGTGTGCAGCTCCAGGTTCGAAAACTGATATTATTGTTCTAAAGAGGATTATATTGATTAGGTTGTAATTGAGAAGTTGCATATGATTGAACTGGATATATTTTTTATTTATAGGATCAAATGATAAAGATGCGAGCAGATACCACTCAACCTGATGGAACTCGAACAATGACAGATAAGGAAATTTGTGTGCAAAAGTTCTCAAAGTCAAATCAAGCTACAATAAGGGTTGTGGTTTTAGCCCTAGATCACCACCATTAAGGTTCTCTCATTCTTCGATGAGTAAAATGTCTGAAAAGAATAAAGAGTTGCAAGAACAGCTTCAAGAGACCCAACAACTTGTAGGAACTCAACAACAAAAGATCGTTACGCAAAATGAGGTAATCCAAAGATTGGAGGAGCAAGCAAAAAAGTTTGAGGAGTTTATGGCTAAATTTTCCAAGCAACATCCATCAACTTAGTATTCTTAGTGAACTTAAACTTGGAGAAATGTTTCTTTGATCGTGTTGCACTTAGTATTCTTAGTGAACTTAAACTTGGAGAAATGTTTCTTTGATCGTGTTGCATTTGTTATTGCTTTAAACTAGCATTGTTACTTATGGTAACTTGGAGAAATGTTTCTTTGATCGTGTTGCATTTGTTATTGCTTTAAACTAGCATTGTTACTTATGGTAAAAACTTGCTTGCTTTATTTATTTTAATTGTTTTGATGTACTGTAGTGACAATTGATGATAATTATTTATATTTTGAGCATTTTTCTCGTAATAGCATTATTATTGATGAAATAAAATTTCCTCATTATAAGTATACTGCTTACGTCGTCAAAAAAATATTTCCTCATTATAGAGTATACTGCTTACGTCGATAAAAACATATTTCCTCGCTATAGTGATACAACCTATAACAACAAAAGTAAATTTCCTCGCTGTCGACCATATAATCTATATTGACAAATATAAATTTCCTCGTAATTGAATTTCTTTGGTGAGGAATATGGGGTACAACCTACAACGACAAATTTAAATTTCCTCGTCTTTGAGTCCCTTTACTGAGGAACTGTTTCCATGAGAAAAAGATACATATAATGAAGAAAATCAATTTCCTCGTTAAAGATTTACCTTTAGTGAGGAACAGTTTCCTCGCTGAAAGATACTTGCAACGACGAAAATAATTATTTTAGAATTTTTATTATATATAAATTAAATATTATCCACATATCATTGGCGAGGAAACTATAGTTTAGCGATGAAAAATATATGAGATTAGGGGAGGAAAAATATCGAAGCTAAAGAGTAACAAGGAGAAAAGATATATTCATCGCAAAAAGGATTTCAGGAGAAATTATAATATTCCTCGCGGAAACTTTTCTTGACCACCCTACCGTGAGGAAATGGTGACCAAAGTTTTTTCCTCGCCAACACACTACGGCGAGGAAATCTCGACTTTCAATGACTAACTTGTTCCTCGTGGATTAGCTTTTCTGTTGTAGTGTCCCCACTGTGATTTCCGAACACACTTTTTCTGAGATGAGATTCGATCACTTTGTTGGATCAATCTTCCCTCGCAAAACTCTCATTGGTGTTTGATGACTCACAGTTTTCCACCACATAATTCCTCACTAATCAAATTAATTGACAGTGGGACCACCAAATTCCTTTCGGTTGAATCTACTCAAACTCCCGCTACATCTGTACACTCAACACTCCCATTGTTAGAGTTCGGACATAGTACTCGGAATTTTAATCTGCCAATCCTTGACGATTGTCAAACCCCTTTGTGTTAAGTTCTTATCACTTAACACCAAGAACCCCCGCTGAGTGATCGGTACAAGTTAACACTCTCACTGTAATTTATACTCCCACTCTCACTGTTCATTTGGTTAAACCTTCCTACAGTTAGGACCACAACCAAAGTCTTCTCTCGATTCCTTCCATAAACGAGAGGTCTACTTTCAAATCGAGCGATCAAACCTTCCTACAGTTAGGATCATCTCGAAACTCCCACCTGGTCAAACCTTCCTACAGTTAGGGCCGTAACCAAAATTCCCTCTCGATTCCTTCAATGAATGAGAAGTCCACAAATTGAGCGATCAAACCTATAAAAGTTAGGATCGTTTCAAAACTCCTCACTCGGTCAAACCTTCCTATAGTTAGGACCACAACCAAAATCCCCTCTCGATTCCTTCAATGAACGAGAGGTCCACAAATTGAGCGATCAAACCTATAAAAGTTAGGATTATCTCAAACCCCCACTCGGTCAAACCTTCCTATAGTTAGGGCCAAAACCACAATTCACTCTCGATAAACAAGAAACCCACCTTTAGTTCGGTAATCAAACCTTCCGACAGTTAGGATTATCCGAATCTTTTCGATTCTCAGAGTGAAGATCCCACTCTTAGTTTCATCTTCCCGGATTCTAGAAGTGGAGATCCCACTTTGAGTTTTCTTTGGCAACTGGAGATAGAATATAAAATTCTTCCTCTTCAGTTTTGGAAGATAGAATATAAAATTCTTCCTCTCCCACATCAGGTTCGTCTTTGCCCCAAGAGAAGATATAATCT